TAGCCTAGTGAGCCGTGGCGCTGGCCAATATTCAGTTTACTTTTATCCAAAATTTCTAGTGGTTTTATTAACTAGGGCTTCCATATTTTTTGTACAAAATGCTTACTTGGGACCGGCACTGTGGCATAGTGGGTAAAGCCACCACCTGCAGTGCTGGCATCCATTTTGTGTGCTGCATCACCTCTGATCTAGCTCTCTGCTGTGGCCTGAGAAAGCAGTAGAAGATGGCTCAAGTCCTTGGGCCCCTGTACCTACGTGGGAGACCCTGAGGAAGCTCCTGGCACCTGGTTTCGGATCTGCCTAGCTCTGGCCATTGCAGCCATCTGGGGAGTGAACTGGTGGATGGAAGACACACACTCTCTCTCTCTCTCTCTCTCTGCCTTTGCCTCTCTGTACCTCTGCTTTTCAAATAAGTAGATAAATCTTTAAAAAATAATGCTTAACTTTTGGCATTATTATAAAACTTAATTTATTATGGATGACTTATTAGCAATTTATAAGATACATGGTAGTGATTTTTTTGTCTGATGTAAACTTGAAACATTGTGTATTTTCATCAGGAGACTAAGTAGGAATATAATCACTTATTTATAAATTATACCAGGCATATTTCTGATTTCATCTTAGATATTTCTCTCTATTTAGCACATGTTTCTTTATCATTATTCCCTTGGTGTTTGTTGACAGAAGCAAAATAATTTTAATATTGGCTTAAACACAGTATGATTAAGAAGATAAGCTTACTAAAAAAGAAGGTATTATTGTTTTCAAAGCTAAATACAAGTAATTTCTAAGCTGCATGCCTTTTTGGGTATTCCATATTACATCATCTTCTTTAGTAGTAAGGATAAATATATTCAGATGCTAAAATTTTAACTTTGACTCTGCCACCATTGCAGTTTAAGGTATTTAGTCATAATTTCTTAGATAAGCATATCTTTAAGATTGCTTTATCACATGTATTACACCTGACAGATTTTAAATGGCCGATAAAATAGTGGCTATGTTTATTTTGTTGTACATTTTAACATGAAGCTAGAAAATAAAAGGAAACTCATCATATGTGTTTTCTTTTTTTAAAGATTGTTTATTTATTTGAAAGGTAGAGAGAGAGAGAGAGAGAGAGATCTTCCATTCCCTGGTTCACTCCCCAAATGGCTTCAACAGCCAGGACTGGGCCAGGCTGAAGCCAGAAGCCAAGGAGCTTTATCTGGTTCTCCCATGTGGGAGACTTGGACCATCTTTCATTGCTTTCCCAGGCACACTAGCAGGGAGCTTAATCAAAAGTGGAGCAGCTGGGACTCGAACCAGTGCCCATATGGGATTTGATGCTGCAGGTGGAGGCTTAACCTTCAATGCCACAGCGCTGGCCACATCATATGGATTTTTAAACTATTAAAATTAAAACTATAATTAAAACTCTTTGCCTTACTCAATTTAAGGTATCTACAATATTTCATTACAGAATTAAACATTATTTGTTGAAAGTTCTCCATTTTGTTCATGACTAAGTAGAAAGCCCAATTAATATATTGTGCATTTTTGTGCCCATTATTTATGTTCATGTCATGATGATACCTTTGTACTAGGTAGGAGAACAATCAATGCTTTTATTGAAGACTTATTTTGGGAAGCACTTCATATACAATTCAGAATCAAATTTAAGCCTTACAGAAGCTCTTTGCAATAATCACTATTCCCATTTTCCTATGAAGATATGGAGATTCTAAAGAGTTAAGGGTCTTGCTTATGATCATGTAAGCAAGTTGGTGAACTGTAATGGAATTTATTTATTTTTTAAAGATTTATTTATTTATCTGAGTGGTAGAGTTACAGAGAGAGAGATCTTCCATCCTCTGGTTCACTCCCCAGATAGCTGCAATGGCTGGAGCTTGGCCAATCAGGAGACAGGAGTTTCTTCTGGGTCTCCCTTGTGGGTGTGGGGGTCCAAGCATTTGGGCCGTCTTCTACTACTTTCCCATGCCTTAGCAGAAGGCTGGATTGGAAGTGGAGCACCCGGGACTCGAACCAGTGCCCATATGTGATGCTGGCATGGTAGGCAGAGGCTTAACTTATTACACCATAGGGCCAACCCCTGTAATGGAATTTAAACTCAAGTCTGATTCCAGAACCCTTTGTTTCACTGTGCCATGTTTTTTCTCATAATATATTAGCTCTGTGGATTGTACAAGTCACACAAAGTTAACTTCTTTTTCAGCAAACTGTGAATGTGAAAATCTAGATTCATCAACAGACAAATTTGTGAGGTGGATGATTCACTTCTTGTTCCTTAAATGACATAACACGACATTAAAAACATTATTTGCTCTTCCAGAGTTCAGTTGTTCACTCAACATTTTCGGAATTCATGCACTCTGGAATTGTATCAAGCAAGGGAGACCTGTATTTTGGTATTCTCTCTTGAACATCTACCTGGGGAATGCCTGTTTTTCTGTGAGGTATTAAGTGTTAGAGGTACATAGTGGTTCTGGTACTGGAATTGTTATACCTGGCTTTCAAACCCTGGTTTCACTTCTTAACTGTGTGATCTTGGGCAGGTTATTTAGTCTTCTGAATTTCTGTTTCTTTCTCTCTAAAAAGGAAAGAATAATAGTGCCTTTCTCAGGGCTATTTCAGATAATGTGTACTTGTAGCATGGTATCTGGCACATAGTAGACAGATTTAATAAATGTTACCTTTCATTACTATCTTACAAGTAGTATTTGAAATATAATGTGTTTAAAACAAACAAGCTGAGCAGACTTGTTCAGTATTATCATCTGCAGTTTGGGATAGCAGTTGTCTTCCTTGTGTTATTTGAAAAGTCTCCTAAGTGCCTCTTATGTTCTGCACAGTGCCATATGCATTTTAAAAATGTAGTAACAGCCATCAGCCATGTTTTTATTTTTCATATTTTAAGGACGGTGCCAGTCGTTGTGTGGGATTTCACATATAAGAGCTAGATGTTTGGCTCCTGGCAGCTATAGTTAGCTTACTTCTTTATTACCTTTTGGAAAAGAAAAAGTAGAGAATCACTTGGTGATTTGTTCTTTGGAACAATACTTGCTTAGGAGAAAGGATTTGAGAAATTCTTCAATGACTTCAAGCAAAAATATTGTGAAAGCTTCACTCTGACACTGTAATTGACATTTTGTATGATTTCTGGTGTTTCTTGAAGGTATTTCTAAATATTATTAGAAATAACTAAAAATAAAAACTAGGCATCTTCTATACACTCATAGCATAATATTTAAGTACTCAAATGTGTAAGTCCAGGTAAATTAACCTTTAATTAAAGTGAGTATATTTATTAAAAGGTTAAGAGTTATAAATCTAGTCAAAATTTCCTTCTAGATTATTGTTTCAGAATATTGTGATTTCTCAGAAGCTTGATAAGGAGTTAAATATGTAAGATAATAAATGCATACATAGTTAAATACATAAGATAAGATGTTCAGGTATATTGCCTATTAAAAGATATGTCAGGGCTAGTTTTATTATCTGTAATGAAATCTTGTTAGAGAAAACTTTGCTTTGACATTAAATCACTGCCATTTTTTTCATCACCAAAGTCCAAATGCCAAGGAAAAGTCAACTCACAAGCTGGAGGGGTTTATAAGCAGCTCAACTACAGTGATTGCTGGCATAAATCATCCTATTTTTATGGTTCCTTTAAGTCCTGATTAAGCCATTTGAAGTTCTAAGAGATAATTGGATGCTTTCATATAAACATTCTCAGCTTAGTTTGCATAAAGGATGATTGTGTCATTGATGTGGAGTTTATTGTTTTCTTTTTCTTTTTCCTTCCTTCCCTTCCTTTTTTTTTTATTTTTTTTTTACAGGCAGAGTAGACAGTGGCAGAGTAGACAGTGAGAGAGACAGAAAGAAAGGTCTTCCTTTTGCCGTTGGTTCACCCTCCAATGGCCACCACTGCTGGCGCGCTGCGGCTGGCATACCACGCTGATCCGAAGGCAGGAGCCAGGTGCTTCTCCTGGTCTCCCGTGGGGTGCAGGGCCCAAGGACTTGGGCCATCCTCCCCTGCACTCCCTGACCACAGCAGAGAGCTGGCCTGGAAGAGGGGCAACCGGGAAAGAATCCAGCGCCCCGACCGGGACTAGAACCCGGTGTGCCGGCACCGCTAGGTGGAGGATTAGCCTATTGAGCCGCGGCGCTGGCCAGTTTATTTTTAATATGAACTTTTTCAAGAACCTTTTTGTATAATAGATTTTAAAAGGTTTATTTAGTGTGTTCTGCCAGTTTTTATGTTTACCTAAGGTGTTGTAACTGCAAGTCAGTTACAGTTCTGGGAGTAAATATTGACTTTACTTATGTAGTCTAAGTTTTTATGAGTGACCAGACTTAATAACATGTGCTAATTTAACCTCAGTGAGGATTTTCAGAAATCTGTTTTTGAAGTTTACTAAAACCAAGATACAGTTACCAGTTTTAATGGTTTGATTTTAAAGGAGCAAATTTGCAATGTAATTTGTTCTTAGAAGCCAAAGAATAGGTGGCATAGAGATAGTATAGCTGTTCTTTGTGGAGGGAAAAAAAATGCATTCACGTTAAGTTTGTAGATTGTTTTCTTCAGACAGTTGTATGTAGAACTTAATTTTTAATAGTACTTTGTCTAACATTAGCTCAGTGAGTCTGAGATTTCATATTAAAAATCATTACTGAATAAAGTTTTTCAATTTTTTAGTGATGTTCATTTAATATTTTTGAGATGGAGAAATAAACAAATATTTAGGGTCATTCTGCAAAGGAACTCTGGTATTACTCTCATACCACATAGTCTATTGAGGCTAAGTTATCCATGCTCTGTTGGAGCCCAGCCTGCAAACAAATGGATTTGCTGATATTTGTCACTTGCAGGAGCTGCCAGGGTTACTATAGTCTGGACTACATTAATAGTTATTGTGCAAAAATCATCAAGTGGCATTATTTATTTTTGAAGCGACACATGTAACTTCTTAATTACAATGATTACTATAAACAAAGAAGCTAGCAGTGCTTTTATTTTTTTATTATCATCAAGCAGTTCTCTAGGAGTTTCCAGCAAAATATCAATGCAGCCTTAATCCTACTATGAAATACAGGAACTGTGAATAGGCTCTTGGTGCCTGCTCATAAAAATCAAATCAATAGCTTTAATACTTTATTACAGTCCATTTTGTTTAGCTATAGGTTTGTTTTAGGTAGATCTGCCCATCTGTTAGGCTCTCAGTGGTTAGTTTTACCAGTTCAGTTTCTTTGTATATTTTTCCTGTAAGGAGAAAAGATTTTAAATCATATGGCCCCTTACAATATTATATTACCATTTATTTAAATCAACGATAGAGAATGTACATGCTTGTTTGTTGTGCAAGTACCGAAGACATTCTGATCGAAAGACAACTTAAGGAAAAATAAGCAACTAGGAAAAGCATTCCGTTTTTATTTACAGTAAACAGATTACTGTTTTCATCGTAGGTGAATGAGTCTGATCAGCAGGAATACCCCAGAGAGGGACATCTTTAGCGATAGAATTTACATACCGTTAGCTCACAGTAATTGATTAGCAGCAGGGCTCTGTAGTACAGAGCTGGCTGGGCACAGTTATTTGGGATACCTTTGATGCTGAGGTTTTTCCAAAGCGTGCTGGCTGCATGCTTGTTGCCTTTGTCCGTGACACAGGTAATTACTTGATAAAATGAAGTGCATCGCTGTGAACAATTGACCCTTTGGAACAATCCAGGCTGGTTAGCAGTCTAAAACCACACTTCAAAGCCATCATTATAGCCTCAAACTTAAGAGTTTCCAAGGTACAGACAAAGGTGTTGTCTTCCTTTAGTACAAGTCGAGTGCCATTTTCAGACTTAATGAAGTATTTAAATTGTATGATATTTGATGATACGGAAAACTCTTCCGGAAATCCATCCAGCCTGCTTTTGGACACCAGAACAATGCGAGATTTTATTTTTGTTATGAAATCAGGAGCATTACAGAAGATTCTTAGTCCTTGTGAGCGATCGTGGTTGTCTGTTATTTCCAAGAAAGTAGTCTCCCTGGGTGTGAGCTGCTCTTTCTCCCACCTGGATTTCACTTCCTCCGCCAGTCCTTTGAGCTGAAAGAATTCCGCTTCTTGTGCAAGAAGTTGATTTTCTCGAAACCCTTCGGGCAATAGAAGTTCTCCATTTCGTAGGAAGTTTAGGACATGCCTGAAGAGGAGCCCATCCCTGTCTATGAAATAATGACCATCGGCATCAAACGGGCAGAGGATTTTTCCATTGACTATACCTTCAAGGAAAGTGTCTGGGTACTTGGTCAATGTTTGTTTTTGAGTAATGTATAAATATCCACCAACGTTGAGGGTCATCAGTGTGGATTTGCAGTTCTTTCCTTGGTCAGCATCTTCCAGGCTGTTGTGTTTCCCTTCATACTCCTTTTCTTTTTCTCTTCTGTTTATTTTACGCTCCATCTTGGAAGATGCTATTTCAGCTTGTTCTTCTTGGCTTTGGGATTTTTTAGAAAGAAACACTGCCACACAAACACGCCTTTATTCAGCCCCAGGCTGGCGAGGGAATGGAAATGCTGGCAGCGTCGCCTGCGCTGGCGGCTCAGCTTTGCAGCAGGTGGCGCATCAGCTATGTGTGCAGGAGCTTTCTGGAGTAAGACGGAAGGGAGAATTTGCATTTAACTGTATCAGGGGAGGGATTTGTTGGGAGAGGATTTTCATGCATGTTCTTTGACAGTGAGAGCTTTGAAGTGAGAGCTCCTCAGAATAAATTGAATTTCCTCTTTCCAGTTAAGCAGTTACAAATGTTTAATGGCTTAAATTATTTCTTCAGGCAGGTTTAGTATTGACTAGAAGGGTCATCCTTTTGGAAAACAGTACACATTGAATTAATTTCATTTTTTTCCAAGTAAATCATAAATAGGAAACCTAAAGTGAAAGAAACTGTAAATATATAGAATTTCCTACCCCATAAAAACTCACACTTCACAATGATATTGTCATTTTTGAGATGTAAATAAGAATATTTAGACTTGTTATTGTGACAGTGCACTTAAATTTAGTCGAATTAGCATGGAATTCTGATCTTTGTTAAGTAAGAAGAAATTTTTCTAACATCTTTTAGCAAAAGGTAATTTTTTTCATCCTAAAGGTAAAAAATCCACTAGACTTTTTGATAATCATTTGTATTTTTTTACTTAATATATCCTGTGGAAATTCACAAGTTTATGTCATCCTAGAACTGCTTCAGAGCGGAACAAAAACTTGGATTACTGTAGCAGACACTACAGCTCTGTGTGTGTGTATCTTGGGATGATAGGAGCAAGATGGAGATTCAAAATATCTACTATAAAATAGTGTCATGGATGAGTTAGTTTTTGTTTCTCAAAGTGAGAAAAAGAGGACCAAAGCCTAAACCTCTTTGTTGTTTAACTTAGGAATGAGAACGGGGTGAATGTGATGTTCCTCCTACCTTTTTTCCTCCCTTTTCTGTAACTTGTCTTTTACTTCATTTTAAGGTTCTGAACTTTATTTCTAGAGCTAAAACACCCAGTGATTAATCTGGATATTGTCTCAGTGCTCTTTTTTTTTTTTTTTTTTTTTATAACTTTTCTACTAAATAATTCTGGGGATCTACTTTGTCCTTAGAGTTAGATTTTAGAGTTTATAATATACTGTGTGTGTGTTTGTGTGTGTGCGTTTAATTGCATTTAAGATATTTTAAAAGTTCTCAACTGTATGTTGAAGTATTAGAACGAATCTTTTTTTTTTTTAAGATGTTTTTATTTATTTGAAATGCAGGGTTAGAGAGAGAGAGAGAGGGGGAGAGACAGAAAGAGAGAGTGATCTTTCACCTGCTGGTTCACCCCCCAAATGGCCACAACAGCCACGGCTGGGCCAGACTGAAGCCAAGAGCCAGGATTTTTCCAGGTGTCCTAAGTGGCCGTAGCAGGTGGCAGCTTAACCCACTATGCCACAACACTGGCCCTTGCTTTAAATCTTTCTAAAGATGCCTTTTATTTTCTCTAAATAATGTTCAGTTTTCTTTAGATATTAAAAAAGTATATTACTTATATGACAGATATGAGTTTTATATATATCTGTTATTGAGATTTTCAAAAGCCCACTAATTTTAAACCAAAGAACTAAGCTGTAACATTTTTACAGCTATGATTTTGCTTAGAAACCATGAAATTCAACTTCTTTTTACCAAAGATAAAATTGCATTCTGGAGACTTTCTGGTGTTTTGCCTGGGACTTTACAGCTTTCTAGTAGCAAAGCCAGCACTTAGACACTTCCTCTCGGTTCTGCAGCATTTAAGAAGCATTTATGCTTATGTTCTGACAGTGTCGTGTGTGTTGGTTTTGGTTTTTTAGAATCAAGTCTTTTCTATAGCTTTCTTTTGAAGAAATACTGAATACAGATTTGATGGGGTGGGGTTCCAACTTTGGAAACGCATTTGTGGAATTCTTATGTTCCCATTACAAATGGTCCACTGCATATGATTATCATCATATAATAGGAAAATCAACAGAGGCATAGCAATTTTATCTCTTTACAAGCTTTATGGGACAGAATCAACACAACATAGCTGTAGTGTAATAATGAAGGTCTTGCTAGAATTTTCTTACCTGTTTAAATAAACTAAAGCAGTTGGATACTTCGTAATAGTAATGCTGAGTCTGCTTCCTTTCACCTGGTTTGGTCTCTCTAGATGATTCAGTGGGGAAGCCCTGATGGGACTGCTGCAAGAGGTTGGGCTCCCACAGGGTGTCCAGGGGTCAGTGACGCTGCAGGATGGCTGCAGGTGGGACTGCCAGCCTTTGCAGCCTCACTCCAGAGCAGCCTGCACTTGCTAACTCACTCACTCCTGGTTTCTGCTGCCAGATTGCCAACGGGCACTGATGAGTGCTTTTGTGTCTGCAGGCTTGCCTTGGCAGACTGTGCCCCTCACCCTTGATTGCTTTTACTCGTTCTCTTCCCTCTGGTGCTCTTGGCTTCTGCACCCCTGACATGTATGATTTGTTTACCACCTAGGCCTGGCTGCAGATGTGTAAATGAAGGCTTGTCTTAGTGTCTAAGTAAAAGCTGATACAGATCCACAGGACTTTTCTTTAGTTTGCGATTTGAAAAATGGCACCCGGTAGCCCCACCTTATCTGCGTTGGTCCACATTGCCCCCCATTAAAGCAACATAGTTGCAGTTCACAGACATTGCAGGGGTTTGTTGATCATTGCTGCCTGTTACGGTACACATGCGCCTCAGTAGAAGAGCAGGTTGACCTCTCTTAGTTCTAAGTTTGTATTTACTTGCTAGCCCGACAATTATAAAAATGGTGCTTAGAACACATACCAAGGAAAGCATCCCTGGTTTATGTGACTGTCACCTTCACTGCAGATAGAAACTGTAATGGATAGGTTTCAGCATAAAAGATTTAATCCATACATCAAAGATTAGCTCACCTAGATGTATTTGACCTCTAGATTTAAGGCTTTCATCTGACTTTGCAGGCAGAGGATGCAAAATTTTGAAAAGTAGGATCCTCAGTACCTTAGCCTTGTTTTAGAGTTTGATCACCTTTATCTGAGACATCTGTAATTGCTCATATGAAAGAGCCCATGAGCCAACTTTGAGAATTTAAACAGGTCCTTGCCTTGGTATTAGCCTAGCCTGCAGTCAATTGGGCCTAATGCCTAACCAAATTCTGGCAGAACCTTCCACTATGACGTAATGCTGGTGTCCTACCATATGCATTATTCTGAACTCATTTCAGGCCGTTTGGAGGAAATCCCATCTCTTCCACCCACTCCTATAGGGAAGTGAGGTCCATGTCACCACCATTATCTACATAGGACATCATCATCATAGATGCTTGCTCCATATATTCGCCAGAGATGATCTCATGCCATAGAAGGAAGTAGATTTTACCAGGAAGGGATCTCCCCTAAGTGGAAGATATTAGATTTCATTATTCCCCAAGATTAATAAGACCACTCCTCCGTGGAATTCAAACACTCCTTTTCACGCCTTTGGAAAGAACATAGTACTTATCTTTCTGCCTCTACCAAATGATTTTTGTTGTTTTCACCTGATTGTGTCTGTGCCTATCTTTTCAATGGATTAGTCCCATGACCTTAGAAAGAAAGTAAAAGCAGCCACAGTTGGAGAAACACCTTTAGTTTTTACTGTATTCCAGTCCTGAACTTCCTCACATTTTCAAGGTCATTGATCTGTGTTTTGATCTTCCCTCTCTTTTCACAAGCTGAGTTTTTCTTTCCCTTTTTTTTTTCTTTTTAACATGGGGACTGGCTTCTTCACTGCCTCCTGTTAATAGCATTGAATGTGAGAAACATTCATTTTTATAGTCGGCTATGAATATTTTACATTAGCCTTTGTGGTTTGTTTAAAAATAAAAATAAATTATACCATGGAATGTATTGACGTATTTTAGGAATCAGGGATTTTTGTATGTACTCCAGTTCTTTATTTTTTGACAGGCAGAGTGGATAGTGAGAGAGAGAGACAGAGAGAAAGGTCTTCCTTTGCCTCTGGTTCACCCTCCAATGGCCGCCGCGGCCGGTGAGCTGTGGCCGGCGCACCGTGCTGATCCGATGGCAGGAGCCAGGTACTTCTGGTCTCCCATGGGGTGCAGGGCCCAAGTACTTGGGCCACCCTCCACTGCACTCCCTGGCCACAGCAGAGAGCTGGCCTGGAAGAGGGGCAACCGGGACAGAATCTGGCGCCCTGACCAGGGGTTCTAGAACCGGTGTGCTGGTGCCGCAAGGTGGAGGATTAGCCTAGTGAGCCGCGGCGCCGGCCTGTACTCCAATTCTATTTGAATGGCAAAACCTCAGTTTCATTTTGAAATACAAAATTCATCTCGTTAAATGTTGCCTGGAGCTGATATGGTACTAACACAAGCACTGTGTCAGCTACCTTAGGTAACTGTCCACAGCATCTCATAACTATGTGGAGTGCTTGGACCTTGCTAGGACTCTTTGAACACAACCTCTGGTTGAAGGTCAAGTGACTTTCATTCCAGTCTCATGAATGCACTTGTGTAAATATTTTGTGGTGTTGAACTGAGTCTTCCTAGAAGCCCAAGAACCTTGGCTACATTAGCCAATTTGTTAGCCTCATTTGAGGAGTGTAGACAAGAAGAAAGCCTTGTTTGTTAAAAGGAGCACAAATTGAAATGACAGACTAGCCAAGAAGTTCAGGTGAAATTCCATTCCTCATTACTTTGCTTTTCACTACAGAGGTAAACTTGACAACTTATAAATCATAGTAACTCATATTTTAAATGCACTTTGGGACGTGAATGTTTCAGGGAAACTTATGTTTTATAATTTTTTAAGCGGAAGTCATACTTTAAATTTTTGTAATAATCCTTTTAAGTGTGGCCTATGCCTTATTATTCACTGGGAATTTTTATTGTAACCAGATGAGCAGAACACTTGTGTGTGCCATCAAATGAACACTGAAATTATAATGTTGCATAGAGCTCATTTTTATAGTGCCATTTGCAAATTGAAGTTTTCCCATCTCAGGGAAGGAGATGTTTTAAGTTAATAACCATTATCTATGATCTCAAGATGAGGGACATGCCTGAAGATGATGGTGTTCAGTGACCAAAGAGGGTCTCTTCTCCCCAATGCTGTCCCCTCCCATTGTTCCTTCTGTTGCTGTCTTCACATCCTCTGTGTCTGCAGGGGGAGAAGGGAGCCTGAACAGACGTAAAGGCTATGTGGCTTATGGGACAAATGTGCTTTCTTATTTACAGAGTAGAGCAGTTTTAAATTAGGGACGGGGAACTCGAGCGTATTTCACATTTTTTTTCATACTTGATGTTTCTGAAATCGAAGTATGTCAAAATGATTGGCTTGTCAAAGTTTAGTGGCAGCATTTTATGTTTCTAATGATACTGTGAATAATGGGGAATATTACAATTGATGTCATCTTTGAGTTAATGAAATATTTAGGCAGCCCCGTGAGCTCTTCCCCTCATGTCACAAGAAAATGAAATTTAAGGGGAGAGGAGAACGGAGGGAGGGAAGTGTGTGTGTGTAAAGGAGGATGAAGAGAGACAAAGAAAGAATTAAAGTTATCTGTGGAGGTTATACAAATGCTCCACAACACAGTAAACACAGAATCTTTGGGAGTGGGCCCAGTGAGGAGTGTGTGTGTGTGTGAGTTCAGCCTGCGGCGTCGGCACACCAGGTTCTAGTCCCGTTCGGGGCGCCAGATTCTGTCCCGGTTGCCCCTCTTCCAGGCCAGCTGTCTGCTGTGGTCCGGGAGTGCAGTGGAGGATGGCCCAAGTCCTTGGGCCCTGCACGCGCATGGGAGACCAGGAGAGGCACCTGGCTCCTGCCTTCGGATCAGCGCGGTATACTGGCCACAACGCACTGGCCGCAGCGGCCATTGGAGGATGAACCAACAGCAAAAGAAGACCTTTCTCTCTGTCTGTCTGTCTCTCTCACTGTCCACTCTGCCTGTCAAAACCAAACAAAAAGTGCCCTATTAAGGAAAAGGATGAGCTCAAGAAAGGGGATTGATCTCAAGGATCAATGGTGGGGTTGAAATCTCTACCCTTTCGTTGTGAGGGTCTCATAATTTCAGAATATCTGGAAAATCATAAAGAACTAAACTAGTATATGGGATGACTACTGTTACTAGTTAAACGTGGGAAAGAGACCAAGAGTTACGAAGGATACAAAATCAATGGAATTTGTAGCATATTCAGCTGAGTTAATACCATTAGCTGGTCTGTAAGTGTTTCATGAGTACTGAGTCTTCAGCTCTGTTGCAGTCTTCCTAAATGCAGGGGTCTTAAGTTCTGCTGTGGACTTGAGCGCTATTTGATCAAAGTAGCAGTGTGGTATAAGTCAGTGCTCCAGGAGACATGAGTTTTCCAGAAGGATGTGTTTCCTAATGCTTTAGGTACTTTTATACATCCCCCTCCTTGTTTCAAGTGTTACTTTACTGCAAGATGGAAATTATAAATTTAAATGATAATTTGTTCATCTTTAGACAGCAAGCTTTTGTGTGTGTGTGTGTGTGTGTGTATTTATTTGACAGGTAGAGTTATAGACAGTGAGAGAGAGACAGAGAGAAAGGTCTTCCTTCTGTTGGTTCACTCCCCAAATGGCTGCTACGGCCACAGCACACTGAACATAGGAGGGGCCTTCAAAATGTTCATGGAAAAGGCACAGTATCTTTTAATCCTAGTCCTCCATAAACATTTTGAAACCTCATTATATTTCTGATTTGAATATTATTATGTGACTGATCATTCATTACCTTTGAGATCATCAAATGCTAACCCTAAAGGGTTAGGTTACTTTAATCTGATCATCATCTTTTATTCCTAAGATTCTTGAAAAGTAAATAGAGATAAGAACATATTTGCATATTTGAATAAAGACCAACTTCTATATTAATACTGGGATAGGAAGTTTGCCTATCTGGTTAAAATGCCAAGTGGCTTGTATTAATAGGCTTCATCTGAGAACCACAGCGTAGCAACAGCAGAAAACTGTGAAGAAATTGCCTCATGTGTAAAGAAAGGAGACAATTAGAAATGAAAAATGGTTTACCTTTGAAATGCACTTCGTCTCTGGGAATATCTCTTGTCCTTTTCCTGAGAGTGTAGACACAGGTGGGAGATACAGAAGAACCAGGGGAGTACTGCAGTCTTGAGGATCACCCCAAAATCTTGGCTGCTAACACCCTTGGTCTCTTCTACCTGGAGTCCAGTGAGCTCTTCAAGGCCTCCACATTCAGCTGGGTGCAGAGTGGGAATGGATGCCTCTAGCATCCTGATGCCTGTGACTTCCTGACATGCCTGATCTCATTGCTTACGTGCCAGTGCCAGCGCCAGTGAGCACCCTTCCTGCTTACTCACCGCTTGTGTCACCTAGGAATTTCCTTAGCAGGTGAAAAGGGCTATTCAGTCATTTCGGTTGTCCCAAAAAGAGTACATCTCAAGTTCAAATGCAGAGTAGGAAGATTCGGCCTAGAACAACATTTTGACCTTTTTCACGTCTTGGGCAGTTTTTTAATGTTTTGTTGTTGCTGCTGCTCTGAGAAACAGTTTCCCTGTAGTTTTTGCTCAAAGAAAATTTAATTATATTGGGTCCCTTAGAATGTACTAGAGCAAACAAAATAGCACCAATGAAGTAATCAAACACCCTCAGTTGGAGAGGAAGGCCAATGTTTTTGTAGTGAAATACAAGTAGAGAAGATCCCACAGGTTCCAATGGCTTCATTATATAGATGCTGTGGCACAGAGATGTGAATTTACTTCTGCAAACTAGCGCTGCTAATTAGTGACAGAATCATAACTAGAAGCCTTCAGTTATTTTTATAAGATGTACTTTATGTAACCTGTGCTTTAAAATTTTCTGAAACTAAGTGATAGGAAGTACATAAACAATATACCATCACCAAAGGTGTTTGTACTAAGATTCTTTTGTTTTCAAGTAGCAGAAACCAGTTAACAAACCAGGCTAGACAAAGAGGAGAGGTAGGTATGCCAGAATTTAGAAAGGAGCCATGAATATTTCCTGGAATCCAAGAAGTATTGAAGAAATGGCCAAGTGCTGGCCCCATCCTGCTTTAATATTTAATTTTAAAACTTATAAAAGTACATTTAGCTGCTGATTACATGGAAGACAAGGCCTTTGAGTATGGGGTGCTGAATGACCATCTGCTTTTTGTTTCCTGGAAAAATTAAACCCATAATTTAGTTTAGATTTTCAGTTTTGGTTGCTTCAAAAAGGAACAAGAACTTAAGACACTATGAAGCAACACAGGTGCAGATCTTTCTAGATTCTTATGTTTCTCTTCCTGTCTCTGCTTATCTCACACATACCTAAATTTTTTCCGGCAGTTTATATCAAGTATTAACAAAGCTTACCCCCTCACATATACTCATAATTTGATGGGCTTATGTGTTATATAATAGAATTGCATAAATACTGAAACTAGCATAAACAAGTTCCAGCCTAGTGTGAGCAGAAGCATGTGGGAGTACCAGAGATTGACCTGCTATCCAGTATCGTATGGCAGGCTGTGGGCATCTGTCCCAGTGTTTGATATTGGGGAACGGAAAGCCTTCATTAGCATGGAAAGGAGTTCAGTGGAGGTGTATCATAAATGCTTCTGCTGATTTAAAATTGTCTACTATCTGTATGCCTTTTTACCATCCAGCTAGACTAGGAGCTCTCAGAATGTGGTCTGGGAATATGAGTAAAGGATGCCTGAGACCTTTTCATAATTACATTAAGCTGTTTTCATGCTCATTCTCTAAAAGTTTTCTAGTTTTCATTTCTAATATGGTAGATTTTAATAGCTAAAAGTCACATAAACAAAAGCTCGTTAGGGGTTGTCTGAACTTTTCATTTTCTTTTAAAATGAAATTGAGATTTATTGTGTATGCTCTGTAGAATGGGTGTGTCAGCCTGTCTATGAATATTTGCCACAGACATTTGAGAATGGCTGCTCTGTGCTCTTGAGGGCAGGAGCCATGTTGACTTTATCCTTGTTGTTTCTAATGTGCTCTTGAGTTACTTTTACAGGATAGCCACTTATTAAGTATTTGATAAATGTACAAGAATTAAAAGGTGTATTGTCAAATAATTATGTTCTTTCAAATGGGGTCAACAAAGTAGTTTTAAGTAAGCGTTCCTATTTAATGAATAGGATCTATATTTAACAGCCATAGTAAGCAAGTGGGTGCTTTTAAAATAAAATGTAATATTTAATATCTTTCCCTTAAGATTGTAAGCAGTATTTTGAAGAAGAAAAGAAGTATAGTTTAGTGTAAAGTATATGAGAATGTGTTTCTTTGGGGGTTTAAGAAGCATTTGAAGGTTTTTTTGTTTTTTTACGATTTATATATTTGAAAGGCAGAGTTACAGAGAGAGAGAGGGAGATAGAGATCTTCTATATGCTGTTCACTCCCCAAATGGCCACAGCAGCTGGGGCTGGGGCTGGGCCAGGCTGAAGCCAGGAGCCAATAGCTTCATCTGGGTCTTCCACATGGTTGCATTGGCTCAAGCACTTGGGCCGTCTTCCACTCCTTTCCCAGGTGCACGAGCAGGGAGCTGGATCAGAAGTGGACAGCTGGAACTCAAACCTTAACCCGTTAAACCACAATACTGGCTCCCATTTGAATTGCACTCCAGGTCTCCTGCATGTGAGTGACAGGAGCCCAGTTACTTGGCCTGTCACCCTGCCTCCCAGGGTTCTGCACTGGTGGGAAGCTGGAATCGGGGGCCTGAGCTGTGTATCGCCTCAAGACCTGTGGTGTGGGGTGTAGGCATCTGCATTTCCAGCTAAATTCCCACTCCGGTTTTATTTATTTGAGAGGAAGAAAGAAAGCAGTGATGTGGGGTTATTTAAGAGCAGCCAATTGGTGAGAAAATTCATTGCTGATGATTAAGACTTTTCCTTTTCCTGGAGTAGCATTTGAAAGTGATTTTTGGTTTGTAAAGAAGGTGTGATGAATAGAAAATTACAGTTTGAGGGAGTGAATTTTACTGCTTTGTGTGAGTGACCTTGATTCAGTCGTGAGGAGACTGGCAGCCGGGTTAAAATGTCAGCTGCTTTGGACCTGCCTTCTGCCCTTTTGGGTGCCATACGGAAATGCTGACAGCAGAGAGTTTTCACTAAACAGTAAATTCAGCCTGTCCACCTGGAGTAGGTAATGCAAAATAAGTGGGGAACAGTCACAAGTGATGGTAAAAAGAAGCTCTTTTCATATTCAGCATTAATAAACACATGCATGTGTGACTAAATTGTGTTCAGGAATAGTATTCTGCATTTATCTTATTTAAAACAAAAAATAAATTTATGTCCCTCAAGCTTTTAAGACACTGTGCATCAAAATTTCCTGACTCTTGCTATTGTTATGGTGACTGAAGAATTTTTCTTGATAGTTTTCAGCTTCATTGGAAGAATAAATTTGAATATAAGACTTATTTTTGCTTTAAGAAAATTCAGATTATAATCATTAAGCTCACTAATGAGAAATATTTTTAAATTTCTGAAGTGGAATACAAAATTAAATATTTCAGGGTTTTTAATTACTTCCTTCCTAGCATATTTTGGTATAAAATAAGCATGCTTCTCTTACCAGCCACCTGATATCCTCTACTTGAGGCTTGTTGTGTATGTTGCATTGAGGGGCCCTAGAAATACTGAATACACTGATCATTTTTGTAATTAGCACCTAGAATTTAGAGTATTTCTAGGTGCTGCAGACAAAATGAAGAAAGATCATTATAACAAAGATTTTGGTGCATAGTAGGATTCCGAAAAGTTCATGCTTGGGGTGAACATTTGGTGCAGTGGTTAAGCCACCACTTGGGATACCCACATTCTGTATTGAGGTGCCTGGGTTTGAGTCCTGGCCCCACTTCTGATTCTAGCTTCCTGGTAATGCACACCCTAGGAAACAGCCGGTGATGGCTAAGTACGTGCGTCTCTTTTTTTTCTTTCCTTTTTATTTGGAAGTCAGGGAGGTGGGGAAAGTTCGATCTTCCATTGCCTTGTTCCCTCCACATGTGCCTACGAGAGCCAAGGCTAGGTTAGGGCAAAAACTAAGAGCCAGAAACTCTGTTTCTGTTACATGCGTGACAAGGAACCCACATATTTGAACCATCATCTGCTGCCACCCAGGCTCATTAGCAGGAAGCTGGACTCAAAGAATTGAATAGCTAGGACTCAAAGTGGCTCACCCACATGGGATGCAGCCAGCCCAAGCTGCAGGCTTAACTTGCTATGTGCTGTGCCGCAGTGCCCATCCCTGGGGCTGTTTATAAACCAATGTTTACCCTTCTTAGTGCCTCAAACCGGAAACAATTCAAACATATTATAAAAATTAGTATGCACTTATTTTGCTGCAAAAAATTTTTTGAAATCTATCCATAGTTTTTTCATAATATGTGTTTTCATAATATGTTTTTATAATATGTGTTTGAAAGTCCCATTTATAAAGCACATAGAGTTTATAACACACACCACAGTTTGGTCTATTTATCTCTCTCCTCCAGTGAATCGTATGGTCCTTGAAGACCATACTCTGTATTAACTATCTTTGATTCCGTGATGCCCAAGATAGGGTCCTTTTCCTAGGAGGCATTTAATTAATGGTAGTGGAATGAATGAAGTAGTTCTCCCTTAAGAGCTGAATCATACATGTGTTACTGATGAGCCATGGATTTTCCTGGTTCTCTTCTCAAATCCCAAGTGGGTTGTCATGAACATATGACTGAACCATATCTGTTCCTAACCCCAGTTGTTGAACATTTCTAGGGTGTATAGTAAAGCTGATACCATTTAAGACATTCATATACATATTATATGGTTAGATGAAGCCTGTCAAGTAACTACATCACAATGTTTGGTGTCTAGTCTCTGAACTCTTTTAAGTCAGGGTCACAAAGAATTATTAATGATAAAAAATCATCTTTCTGTTTGTACAGATAGTCACAGAAGTTAAAGATTCAGTTTTTTTGTTTTTGCTTTTTTAAAGATTTATTTATTTATTTGAAAGAGTTAACACAGAGAGAGAGGGAGGGAGGAGAGAGGGATGGGACTTCCGTCCTCTGGTTCACTCCCCAATTGCCTGCAATGGCCGGAGCTGCACCAATCCTAAGCCAGAAGCCAAGAGCTTCCTCTGTGTCTTGCACATGGGTGCAGGGTCCCAAGGACTTGAGCCATCTTCTGCTTTCCCAGGCCATAGCAGAGAGCTGGATCAGAAGTGGAGCAGCTGGAACTTGAACCAGTGCCCATATGGGGTGCCGGCACTGCAGGCAGTGGCTTTACCCACTAAGCCACAGCACCAGCCCCAAGATTCAGTTTTGACATACTCAGATTTATAATGCTGGGGAACAGAAGTCAAAGCACATGGGAGACCAAATTGGTACACAGTGTAACCTAGAAAAATGGCCCAACTAGTTTCTCAGTATTTTCTGGGCTTATCTGTTCTCGTCACAGTGTATTCTAGAATTTTATTTTACTTACACATACCCCTTTGGTTTAGTGGTTTTGACTAGCTTGTGTTTTTAGAAATTACTTACTTGTCAAAGATGATAGCCTCCATACTTTTCAGAAAATGTTTATTTGATTTTATGACCTTAGCAGGCACCTAAGCATAGAGAAGCTGTTATTGACAAAGGGCAACAGCAGCCAGATGAACACACTTGACAGGAGGCGCCCCAGTTTGTTACTAGCCAAGACTATGGCTTCTCTCTTTTCTGACCAGTGGTATTGCTATTTAATAGAAACTTAATAGGACTTCGTACTGTTCTTTTGTTTCCTTGATTTTTATTATGTATTATATTCAGTTGTCACTTCATATGGTTGGTGTGTCAAAATACAGTCTTGAAAATGGTAACTGTTACCTTGAACATAATTCTTTTTTTTTTTTTTTTTTCTTTTCATTCAAGATAAACTGTCTCTGGAAGGAATCGTGGTACAAAGAGCTGAATGCCGACCTGCTGCTAGTGAGAACTACATGAGATTAAAGAGGTTGGTGTTTTGTGCCTTTAAAATGATTACCTGATATTTCTCCCTGGGGATTGAGATGCGTATATTAGATTGCCTGTTGGCTACCTGAAAGCTGTGAGAATTGGTGAAAGTGTTTGCCTCAGAGGTTGCTTGGTTTTAGTACCAAGTAAGATTTCTATGGCATTTAGAGACTTTTAGTACCTTGGCTGTTTGAGATATTTTAAGTTGCTCTGTTAATATATCCTGGAATCAGTTTTTAAACTGCTTTTTGTAGTTGTCTTTATAATTCTTGATTCTCTAAAGACATAATAAGATCTTTGTACTATTCTATTTTCAAAGACTGTAATTTTCCCTAGTGACTGTGTTTTCAAAATACTATACTGTATAAAACAAGTATAGTTGCTAAGATATTGTCCTTTTTTTCTTGAAGACAACTCTTAGAAACTTATGTACTTTGGTGAGATTTTGCTTCAGGTTACTACCCCACCCCAGCCCCACCCCTAGAAACTGTGGTATGTGGTTAACATTTTGTAATTAATTACTATTTAGAGATAGTGGGTGCAAATTCCTGCTACCCCAACTTCTATAACTTTTAAAGAGTCCACATTTTTTTTATTAGAAACCTTTTATTTAATGAGACAAATTTCATAAGTACAACTTTAGGCATATAGTGATTCTTCCCACCATACCCGCCCTCCCACACCACCTCCTCCTCCCTCTGCCATTCCCAGTCCCATTCTCCATTAAGATCTGCTTTCAAATAACTATATACTCCAAAGGAATGTATGATACCTATTTCATAACTTCTATTTAATGTATTTCGGCCCAATGTGATTTAGAATTCTAAATTCGTTTGTTCGTTCTTTCAGCACTTAGTATCTGCTGGGTACATTTTAGGATTAGAGAAATAGTAGTGCACAGAACAGGCAATAGCCTCTGTCCTCATGAAGCGTGCATTTTAGCAGACAGTGGAGAACACACTGCTCTGGTGTTAGCAGCAGTCTGAATTCCTGTCAATACAGGAAGCTGGTTGAACTGGATCATGTCTAAATTTCACATTGTATCTTACATTTTCTTCTTTTCTCGATTATATTAGACTCTGTCTCCTGGGAATGACACAAAGAGACTGGTTTTCTTGTCCAATAATTCCTCTAATTTAACTGCCTCCCCAGGGCAAGTAAAAGGATGACAATAAAAATGAAAAAAATTTATAACATAAAACAGCTTTCAAAAAAAGGCATAAAATATATATCTTTCTGGCTTTTTGCCTATAAAGTTTATTATATACTGCTAGAAGATTTATCTTCTTCAAATAACCCTTGAGATTGAAAAATGCAAAATCCAGTTACTGAGCTGCTTGCCAAGATTTTTTCTATGGTCTTAATTTTCTTCAAAGGGTTTCTAAAGGGTTCTGATGATGAGATCAGGCAGGTCACCTGCTGTGTCTATAAAATGGCTGCTTTTTTTTCTTACTAAAAATAAAGAAAATGGTTTCGCCCTTTTAGTATGGTACAAGACTAGCCAATATATATTTTATTCTTGTCTTGGGAAAGAAAATGGGGTGTCAGGCAGTGATGATCCATGGGAGTTTCATGAAATAAATGATGGATGACATAAGTCTCTTAGAAGACTGAGTTTTTTTTGACCAAGTGAAAAATGACAGGGTGAATAAATATTCAGAATAAGGAAACATGGAGACACAAAGGCATGGGGAAGCCTTCAGGAACCCACATATGATTCGAGATGCCTGGAATAAAAGAGTTATTTGAGAGTGTGGCAGATGCTGTAACTCAGAACTCTTTTTTTCCTGAACGCCAAACTTCCATAGATACACAAAAGCCAGGTTATGTTTCCAGTAAACATTTCAGAATTGGCAGAAATGGGTCTCAAGATCCTTCCTCCCAAACCGCTCCATCATTCGTGGTCTTTCTCATCTCAGTTAATACCAACACCGTCCTTCCATTTTCTTAGTCCAGAAATCTGAGTTCCCTCTTAATGCCTCTCACACCCACCATCAAATGTGTCAAGGAAAATCTTATTGGCTGTACCTTCAAAATAGCACACATCTCTAGAGTAAATGTATCTCAGCACCCTCAGGAGCTGCCTCTATTTCTCACTTAGATTACAGCAGGAACCCCTTTTTGGGCAGTTCTTCCTTTTTTGTCCCAATACAGTTACTTCCCAGCACAGTGGCCAGATCAGTTCTCTTAGAACCATGTCAGATCATGGTGTTCCTCTCTTCAAGTATCACTTGCAGTTCTGCTTGTAATATTAAGAATTAATTCAGCCGGCGCCGCGGCTCACTAGGCTAATCCTCTGCCTTGCGGTGCTGGCACACCAGGTTCTAGTCCAGGTCGGGGCGCCGGATTCTGTCCTGGTTGCCCCTCTTCCAGGCCAGCTCTCTGCTGTGGCCAGGGAGTGCAGGGGAGGATGGCCCAAGTCCTTGGGCCCTGCACCCACACGGGAGACCAGGAGAGGCACCTGGCTCCTGCCTTCGGATCAGCGCAGTGCGCCGGCCGCAGCAGCCATCGGAAGGTGAACCAACGGTAAAGGAAGACCTTTCTCTCTGTCTCTCTCTCACTGTCCACTCTGCCTGTCAAAGAAAAAAAAAGAATTAACTGTATCTGTATTGGTCCACATGGGCCTACGTGCTCAACCTGCTGCTTCCTATACCTTCAACCTCTCCTTCCTTCTCGCACCAGTATCCTAACAGTCTATCAGAGCTCTTAGCACACTTTCTCCCTGCGGCCTTTAAACTGGTGGTTCTTTTCTGTCTGGGACAGCCTTTCCCCAGATAAGTGTATGGCTTACCCCTTTCAAGTCTCATCTCAAATACCACTTTCTTTGACTTTCCTGCGGTCCTTCTATACTTAACACTGTTTTCATAGCACATTTAGCCTCTTCCTAAACTATGTAGTGTACTTGAGTATATTGTCAGCTTCTCCCTGCCACAGTTTAAGCTCCCATGAGATCAGTGCTTGCTTTTTTGGCTTTTTGTATATACGTATGTTTTTATTTAGTTCATTTACACACATAGGTGTGTATACACAGGTTTACCTAAAGACTTTTCTTAGTGACAATGTAGTCAGGAGAGGAACAGAAAAGTGGTGTTGTTGTTGACTGTAAAATAGAAAGACAGATTTTTAAGTGTAGGTGGCATTTACGTAGAAGTGTTTAAGAACAGTATTGGCGAATTAGTACTTGAGATATCTTGTACCTAGATATTTCACACATATGCTCAAAATGCTTCAGAGCTCCTTCTGGCTACCTAATCTCCTTAATAATATTCAAGGTTTTTTTTTTTTAATTTTATATTTATTTGAACATCAGAGTTACAGAGCGAGAAGGAGAGAGGGAGAGAGAGATCAATCTTCCATCTGCTGGTTCACTTCCCAGATGGCCACAACAGCTAAGGCTGGGCCAGCCCAAAGCCAGGAGCATCATTCAAGTCACATGGATACAGGGCCCCGAGGATCTGAGCCATCTTTCACTGCCTTCTCTGGGACATCAGCAGGGAGCTAGCTCGGAAGTAGAGCAGCCAGAACTTGCACTGGTGCCTATATGGGATTCTGGTGCTGCAGAGCAGTGCCCTCCGTGCTTCAGTGCTGGCTCCTCAAGTTTTCGATAATCTGCTTCTTACCGGATTTTCTGGCTTCATTTTCACTACTTCCCTTTATATAGACTCATAGTTATATCACACTGCAAGTTTTCTTCTAGATAAGGTAGGCTCTTTTCCATCTCATGCCTTTGTTCCTTGTGTGGTGCATCCTCTACCTAGACTGTGTTGGCTACCTGTGCCGAGATCCCTCTGACCCTTTCAGATCAACCCAGGAATTGGTGAAACTTCCTCATAGTTGGCACTCCCCCACCCAGTTAGGATCTGCTATTATTCTGTTCTGCCTTCCCACACATTTACCTATTCCTTTCATGGTCTGACTAAATGTTTGTGTTTTCTACTGTTTAGGGAGTACATAGCTGCATCTTTTATAAGATTATAAATTTCATTAGGGAAGAGTTTTACTTTTCTTTGATTTCTCCTCTTTGTATGTGTGTGTGTGTATGTGTGTGTATTCTCATTCTTAGTACAATGTGTCATGAATAATAAACATTCAAAGTAGTTTTTGGATTGAAATGAAGAAGAATGGCAGCCGTGTACCAAAACATGTGAATCATTTAGATTCTTTTTTATTTTTTTTACTCTGAACTGTATTTGAAACCTAGACATGATTTTTCAGATTTATACAAATACCCATATGTATATGTATATGCACATATGTATAAATATGCACATTTTGCTTTGAAAACATGAAAGTTATTTATAAAACAAATATAAACATTTCACTAAAATAAGACGGTTTTCAAGATATAAAGAAATGAATATAGTCTCCATTTACAAAGGACTAGAAGAGAGCTTTTATCAAAGAAAACCTATCTTTCCTTGACTTATGCTTGTGGTTCTTTCCCCTTCAATCTGTGAGTTTTTATTATATTTTAGCAAATAGCAGCTAAGCTATACTTTTAGTAACAAATGGCTATATTACAAGGAACAATATTTATAAATAATTTTCTTTAAGGATGATCAGTCTTATTCTACTGGGAATTTAATTTTAGTAATAAATTCCTGTTATAGCTCTCTGCTATTAAATTTTGGCTGATAAATTAGGACAATGTTATGAGAATTATATGTTAATCAAATGCAATTTCATAGGATTCTGTCATTAATTTAAATAAAGATGGAAATAAAATACATATTATTATTATAGTAAACTCAGGAAATAAGTAAACCCAGTGATCTATAAAATTTAGGCCAAGAGAAAAATGATTATGCTGGAATTTTCTTTTTTTTTTTTTTTTTTTTTTTTTTTTTTGCTTGTTTGTTTGGTCTTAAAGATTTATTTGTTTATTTTTGACTGGAAAGTCTCATTCGGAGACAGGGACACAACCACTCGAGCATCACCTACTGCCTCCCCACATGTGCATTAGCAGGAAGCTGGAATTGGGGTCAGAACTGGGATTTGAAC